GCTTGGAACAAAAGTTGTAGAGAAAAACAAAGCACTCTTTTTATGTCTACTACAATTTTTCTGCAAGTTTTACAGTTTTTTGAGATATTTACACAAACAGCTGCGAATGACCCTGAATTGTTACGTTGTGTGTACATTTATGAACTTGAATAAGGAGGGATTAACAATGGTCTTTTGAAGACCTGAGAATATTCTGAAGCCTCTGAATGCTGTCAATAATTAAATGAAGCCTCCTCCCACTTGAATTCATTGGTCTTTTTATAAATAAGCACATACTTAATTTGAACGTAATTGGATGTGCTACTACAAACATTATTTTACTAAAATTTAAATGTTTATTTCTTGACATTTAACAAAAGGGAGGGAATATGCCAGAATTGTTACCCTATGTGTACATTTCCTAACTCCTCAATACTATAGTACAAAATACATTATGCCTTAAATGTGATCGTTTATGCATGCTGCTCTCAATGTCAGTGACATTCCCAAACTCTTCCAGTTCAACAGTGATTTTTATAAACTTTTCCTGCACTATAAGATACATAGAAATTCCACAGCTGAAAAATTTACATTTATGAAGAAACATGGATTACATCGTATGTACTGCCAAGGATACCAACCTGTAGAAGATATACTCGTACAGTTTCCATAAAACAAAATGTTCATAGCAACAGAACATGCTGCAGGATGCTGTACTGACCTCATGCACTAAGATGATCACAACCTGAACTCATAAGGGAATCAGGACAGCATATGTAAGAAACTATGCTACGCTTTATACACACAATAAGACAGCATTTGCCTGAATAACCACAACATGGTGCATCAGATATTTTTCACATGACTGATTGCAATCTTTACAGAAATCAACTAACTCACTCATATGCTCATGCATAACAAGTGAAAAATCATGGACAATGAGTGGAAAAATCCTTGAATTTATTCATTCATATTCTCTTTCTCTTTTATTTCTCTACAGATGTCAAACAGTAAATCTATAACTACTGTGGTTATTGTTAATATGACAATGGTGTTCTTTCATGTCGAGATGTGGCAAAGAGCTCACAGTGAAATACAGGTGCAAGATGTCTTCATTACATTAGAAAGAATGGAAAAAGCACATTCCAAAGGACTTCACTGCTTCTTAGTTTACATAATAATGTTCACTACAGTTAAATAAGATGGGAAGATGATGATGAATGGAAACAGGTAGTTATGCTTATATATCCCAGAATTTGCATTGACAGACTGAGCAGAACCACAAGGAGTCTGTCAAGATATGAAGTAATGGAACCATGATTCAAACTGGGTACCTCCAAAATATGAGTCTACAATACTACCACTATACCAACATTCTCTAGCCTAATTTTCCACACACTTTCGCCACAGTCTGTGTAACTCACTAGTCTTGATGTTCGTTTACTGCATTATAGCTCCAAAGCTAAGCTAAGCTAAGCTAGGCTAATAAACATCAAACATAACATTGTAATAAGACATAAATAATATTTCCATGTATATTTTAATTATATAGTTCACTTAAGGGCGTTTGAAATGAAAACTGTAAATTTTAATGATCGCTATTACTTACTTACTTATGGAGCTGAGCTATCCTTGAGGAGCTGCCAATTCTGCAGCTACTTAAGCATTTCCCAGTATTTTATGGAACACAAAGGTTCATTACTGTGTTCACAAGAGCCCTCCAACGGTCTCTATCCTGAGCCAGATCAATCCAATCTATACCATCCCATCTCTATAAGATACATTTTAATACTGTCCACCCACCTATCCCTTGGTCTTCCCCGTGGTATCTTTCCTCCTGGCTTTCCCACCAATATCCTATACACATTCCTCGTCTCCCCCATTTGTGCTACATGACCTGCCCACCTCATCCTCCTTGACATGATCATTCTAACTATACTTGGAGAAGAGTAGAAGTTATGAAGCTCCTCAATATGCAGTTTTCTCCAACCTCCTGTCACTTCATCTCTCTTTGGTCCAAAATTCTCCTCAACACCCTAAGTCTACGTTCCTTGCTTAATGTCAGAGACCAAGTTTCACATCCATACAGAACCACAGGCAAAATTATAGTTTTGTATATTCTAGTTTTATGTTTTTGGATAGCAGACAAGAAGACAAGGTTCTGGACCGAATGGTAGCAAGCATTATCTGAGTTCACTCTCCTCTTAATTTCCGTATCAATCAGGATTTGATTTGTTATCCTCGTTCCCAAATATCTGAACTGTGTCACATTTTCAAAACATCTGTTTCCTATCTTTATGTCATGATTTTGCCCTGTATTTTGGTGACGAGACAGCAACGTATACTATTTTTTTCTGTTTACTTTGAGACCAATCTTCTTACTTGTGTCAATTAAAGTTTGTGTGTTTTTCTTTATATGGAGGGAAGCTGCAAATATATTGAATAAGCAGTCGCAGACAGCCGACAAGGGGTGGTCCTCCAGCTTAGGGGGGTTGGGCGTGGGGCTAACAACTTCTCACCGTGAAAATTAACTTGTTACGAAAATTCTCAAGAAGCCTTGGACCTGGATGGATTCCTTGGATAAATGACCTAAGCTAAAGAAAATGGATATGAGATTTGGTACCTGGAATGTTCGAAGTATGTATAGGGCAGGTTCACTCAGGGCGGTGGCAGAAGAAATCTTAAAATATAAGTTAGATTTAGTGGGGGTACAGGTCAGATGGGACGGGGGTGGCATCGCACCAGCAGGCGAATATACATTTTTCTATGGAAAGGGGAATGAAAATCATGAATTAGATACAGGTTCTTCCATACATATGAGAATATCAGCAGTTCTTTGTTGTCCACTGCCACTGCCACTGTCTGAGTCACCATCACTACGCGTCTCACAAGGCACATAAGCTAGCTCATCAGAGAAGAATTCGTCCTTGATCCATATTCCACTACTAACTTACGGGCTGTTACATTCAGCTTGAAGACTGTCAAAAGGCATTTTCCTTTGGAATGGGTTAAGATAACAGCGAGGTCATGTTACTGAATACTAAGGAAACATTCCGGAGTCTTATTACGCAGTAGTCACATAGCTGCGTGGCAAGAGAGCAAGGTATAGTGTGTTGCAACCTAATGTGTCCTAAAATCATGATATCATGCGACTGGTCTGCCACATTTAAAAGCAAAAAGCATGATATCATGCGACCAGTCCTTAAAGTGTTAATGATCAAATCCCTGTCCCTCAAACTGGGATTTCATTGCACAATGAACTGATACCAATTTCACCTGACAACTTGCAGTATAGACTCCCAACACCAAATCTGATCTCAATCTGTTAAATTGCTAAGTTGAAACATACAGATGTCGTTAGATCACATTACATTCCAGCTGACTCTGATTCTACCACACTAGAGTAGTATTCTCTGCAGAATTCTGGCATTCTGTGATGCGGTTCCTACACAGAGGCTGTCTGTATCCCCTATGCACCTTATCCATGCAGTGTTATATTTTCATTCAGAATACTGGCATCTTAATTACAGTTGCTAACGTAGCAAAACATTTTACTGACTCAACTTATTATTTTGTCCTTCCCAAATTCTGGTGCAGTTGGTAACATTATTCAAGCAAACACAAATTATTACAGACCTCATAAAACATTAACTTACACAGCAAGAATATTCATGCCAGTCAAAATAGCTGATGATCCAATTACAATTTCACAATTACTTGCTTTGTACAGCATGCATATAATGAAACAAATACTACAAGATCTGCCTAAGACACATTAATGTATGCATTAAACCCAAGCATATGAAAATTGTTTACAGGACCTGATTTCTGGTACAGCATAAAAGCACCACGTTTCAGAACCACATTTTTAACTGGAGCAACAACATAAATCTGTACTATTCTTTCCTATCTGCAGTCAAATTTTTTCATAATGTGATGATACAATAACATAATTTATTTTAGTTCTGAGGTGATCATAAAATACAATTGGATATAAACTGTAGAAAGTATACAGTGCAATAAAAAACAAACAAACTCCATGGTTTCCAGTCTGCAAATGAACTATACCAACCAAGTGGCTGCTGCCTGTCGGCAAAGTTAGTGCCAACTTTTGCAGATAGAGGGCGTCATGTGATCAGCGCAACGGATCCCCCTGGCCATTAATTCTGTTTTTCTAGAACAGAGCCGCTATTCCCTTGAAATAGCTCCTCAATTATCCTCATGAGGCTGGGTGGACCCCGTTCCAGACCCACTACTTCTCAGAAAATTTGGTAACACCGGGAATCGAACCCAGACCTCTGGATCTGTAACCAGGAACTCTGGCAACTAGACCACAGAGGCAGTCATATAATGCAATAACCACTCCTATAATGCAAGCTATGAAGCTACTGTACGATCCTGTTTTCTTTTTCTAAAAACAAAGTTTTGAATACACATGCAATGGCGCTCTACTGAAACATGGTCCACTGAGTTCATACATCATCATTACCATGTACATGAAATCCTACCACAAGTATCAAGCCAACTGCCCAATTTAGAATTCTAACATGGATCCTCATTATAAGGAGCTCTGTGCTACAGTGTCTCTCAGCATGTTATCCAATACACATACAAAATATATATTTTTATGTCACTTTCCAGTTTCCCATTGCACACATAATATAAAACACAAAGATATTACAAAATTTATTCCAAAATCTTGCCAATATGTACTGTAGCAATAAGTGTTACAGTGATATACAAGTAATAAGAGCTTTCGGATACAACTGTAATCCTAATTCCCAGTCTCTGTTTGCTTTAAGTACACAAATAGACTTACTTTTATTTCTTTAAAGTTTTAGCTGCTACATATTGAGACACTGACAGAGAAATTAACCATATCCCAGATAAAAAAATGGGTACTTCTGCTTGTATCTCATGTAACAGATTCACAGAGATCTGGTGTTTTTATGAAGGTTATGTGAAGCACAAGATAGTATAAAATTTGTCTCCAAAACTGGAAAGAGCACAAAATTACTTACTCTGGAATGGCCTTGAGATTTGGGATGTGGCAGTATGTATGGAATACTTTCGGACATTTGTCACAGCACACTAACTCCCCCCCATCCATGCACACCGCACACCAGTCCTCATTAGGGTCATCTTTCTGCGTGTCCCCTCCATTCTTAGCATGTTCTGAAAAATAAATTATACTAAACTCCAAAAGCTGAAGGCTGACACAGAAAATGTTGTTCATAATTACTACCATGGCAATGTTCATTTGTAACTCTTCCAGATAACAACATGCTCACTGGCCACTGACTTCAGACATTCAGGCTTGTAGTCATGAATGCCCGCCAAAAATTTCTGCTACGTATGTCTTAAAAGACTGACAAAATAACTTTAAAATTTACCACCACATTGGCACATGTGTAGCTGGTCTTTATTTGGCCTCCAAGTCCAGACTTTCCATCTGCCAAAAGTTAATTCGCACTGTGAATTTATTTTGAAATAGTGGATTCGTGGGATCTCGCAAGAACTGACGAAGATGTGTTAAGTTTTCTCAGACATGGGATTCTGCCAAGAGGATGCAAGCATGAGGAACATATACATCAGTGATTGAGTTTTCTGGCAGCACACCATACAGGCTTACAGAAAGAAGGGGTTGGCAATGGATTTGAGAATCATAAGCTTCCCTTCGTTACGACCATTCATTTTGTACATGTGTGGACTTACAGGTGAACGTTCATCAAATGGTGCCTTCATAATACAGACCAATTACACATGTGCTAACATGACAAACAACATAATGGTAAGCAATAAAGTCAGTCTGGTTATACATTAACACCAAAGTGCTGGAATTTCCTTTGTCAGATGTTTTCAGTTGTAAGTATCTGGCAAGGAACAAGTTCAGCATTTGTTCTTCTAGTTCATGTTTCAATTGGTAGATCGCTCTCACAATATAGTACAAATATAGGACAATTTATACACAACTGAAACACCTCACACTACAAATTAATAAAGAACAATTTACATGTAAACAAATATCACTGGAAAAAAAAACACACACAGTTGCAAAAACTTAACCTCTTAGGAGAGAAGAAAAGGCTGGGTTTATTTGGCTGTTTAATGATACATCTTCAGGCACATAAATTATATTCAGCTGAATGGTAGAATGACTGCGAATGCTGAAATGGAGGAGATGTGGTATTATTTTATTGCTAGTGGGGTGGGACTAAGTCCCTTCTACTGCAGCCACTTCTGGCCTATTGTACCAGCCCCAGATGATAGGTGAGGATGATTGTGGAGCAATTGGTGGAATGCAGATTAGCAGGGGAAACCGAAGTACTTGGAGAAAACCTGCCCCAGCAACACTTTGTCCACCACAAATCCCACTTGACCAGACCCGGGTTGCCGCGGTGGGAGTCCAGCAACTAATCGCTTGAGCTATGGCGCGGCCCAAAAGGTGTGGTAGGAACTGACTCTGGCCTATTCTAAGGCACTAATTCAGAAGGGTGATAATCACTGAATCATGATGTCTGATGCAAAAAAATCATTGGGTTGCAGTGGTAGACTGAAATATTTTCAGCAATGTTTATCTTCATGTAATGGAAAGTGAAAATGAATGAAACATAGTTTCTCAAAAACCCACAAATGTCATGCCACTCACTAAAGAGGATCACCCAGCAAAATTTTATGACATGAAAATTCTGGCATGTTACATGTGACAGTGAGAAAGCAAAAAGATTCCATAGAACTCACAAAATTTATCAATATAGAATAATTAACTACTTATGCTTATATTTGTATTTTGCTTATGTTAGTAAGATCTGATTAAAGGGGCAGGCATTAAACAACCCTTGCACTGCAGCCATTTACAATTCACTGTGAATTTCCCATCTAAGGTTAACTCTCTAGCAGCCCCACAGAAACGCAGAACTTTACTTGATGGAGCCTTATGATGATACCCACTTGACTTCATGAAATGAAGTGCCAGATGACAAAATCTCAATTCAGCTAGGACATCACTCGCACAGAGCGTACGAGGCTGTACCATCATTGTCATGGTACTTTTAAGGGGTGGAACTATTTATTAGTCCCAGTTTGAAGTGGTGTACTTTAAAACAACAGATCTAGAAGAAGTCCATCCAATTGTTTAAAATGATTCCTATTTAGCCCTAAAAGTCCCCTAGTTCTTTTGCAGGAGGGTTCCCAAAGCCATCACTTCACATGCCTTTGTCCAGGTATGGCTTTCCAATACTCTTGGTCGTCTCCATTCTTCCAGTTCCTGACAGTCTTTTTGAGACACCAGTTACTTTTTGTTTACTTAGTTAAAATTCTGCATGCTCTAAGGTTGAGAGAATATCAAATAGTTTTCATCTATGACTCAGCATAGAGTCTGTACCATTATTAGTGAACTGTTTGCTTTTCAGTTTGAACACAAAAATACTCACCATCTATGAGCATCGTAACAGGTGGTGGCAGAGACATGTGAGAAGGGCCAGCACCCTCATCAAGTCCTGTTGAACTGTCCACCAATGGTGAATCACCAGCCCCCATAACTTTCTGGCCTTCTGGAACTACTTCAATGCCGTTACGATCCAGCTTTGCAATGGTTGCCATCAGATCATTAACAGATTCCTAGTAACAGTAAACAATATTTTAACATTTTTAATTTGTATTAATGTACTAGGACATAAAAGTGATAGGGATAGGAAAAGTAACAATTATAACATCATATATCATTACAAATACAGACTGTTTCAATAAAATGCATAGTCTGAAGATTGGTAAGAATTTCAGAAATGTGATATTTCATGCTACTGTGTAAATACCACTACCTGGTGTTATTGGTGTGACAAATGATGGATAAAAAAGTAGATAATCTGAATGGCAGAACCATGTCTGACGTTTGAAATAATGATGCAGTTCAGAGTACTCCTCTAGGCCTCATATATCATTTAATGAAGGCAGTGGCTCAGATAGAAGTTTCAGTGTAGTTACCAAAAAAATTTCTGAAACAGTGCTCCCATGAGACCAGTATATGCAGAATCCTGAAAGCTACCAAACAGAAACCACACATGCCAAGGAAGTGCAAACCTTTGGTGAAAATTACTTCATTCTGTGAATGATTTTCAGGCATGTAGTGAGCTTCTTTTAATGATGAAGTCAGACAGAACATCTTTCATCAAATGGATAATCAGTACAACTGTCACCCCCAGTGCCCAAGTACCAGTATAAAAGCAAAGGGCATGGAAGTAATGCTAAATGCATCAGCATCAAATGAAGATGGCCATGGCTACTTTACTTAGTGTGCATTCAGTAGGAACATTCACGCAGGAATCGATGGTTTGTTTACTTCTATTATTCCATCAGCTGCAAAAAGGTAGTCATACCTTTCAAGACATAACTCTACTTTCTTAAATGAAGAATTATATTGTATGCACACTTCTGTAAGACTGTCTACAGTTGTAAATTTCACTTAATAAAAAATCATAGAAAGCAACATCCCATTGTGATTCATGGAAATAAAGACTACAATTCATCAGTTACTTTTATATCTTACAAGGACTTCTCATGATGTTAAAGGTATAGCAAAATACATATTACAGAAAAGAAAACTTCCACAGAAATGGGTGGGAGTCTACAGTATTTAGCAGAACAAGGGTCTAAGTTTACACATACAATGACAGAAGCAAGATACTATAGCAAACATACTCAGTGAAAACATTACAAAACATGTCCCAACATATTTATAAACATGTTCTGGACATTTATAATTGCTTTTTGGGCATCTATCGTGTTCCATATCACTTCACTTCACTTCACCGTTTTACAGCTGCTTCCCAACTGGTGTTAGCAAAAACAAACCTTGCTATTCCTGCACTATATCCATACCCAATTCAGACTATCAGGAATTCACAATCATGATATATTTCTCCTTCCAGGCATCCAGTTCACCTCTCTGAGGTCCTATCTGAACTTATATTTTCCACTGTAATCCCCAACATTGGGGATAGTCCAGGTTTTTAAATTTCCTGCTGTGGTCCTACATTGGCCTCTGTATGGCTGTCTGAATTTTCTTTTGTTGCACTAAATTGGAATTAGCTTGTAAGGAACTTTAGAAATTATTTTTACTAGTTACGAATGAAAGAGCACCATAATTTTTCTGGAAAAATAACTGGAGCTTTGGAACCACAAGATGTAAAAATACTGGACCTCAAAATTATCAAGTAACACAAGCTACTTTCTACCAGTGATGAAACTGAAGACAACTTTAAGAGAGTTTCCAGTGAACACATATTTACTTGTACACACTCCCTTTACAAATTTGTACTGGTAGACAGAAAACAAGCATATATTTAGTTTTGAAATCAATCTTTAGGAACAATTAAAAAAATGGAACCTCCATGACTATACATTTTGGAAGTTACCTACACCTCTCCTATTAAATTTTTCATTTCATCCTCCATAATCCACATAAGTTCTTCCAAACTGCACCATTTTCTAAATATACATAAGTGACAAGATGGGAGCACGTAACAGTTGTACATGTAAGCCACATAATTCACAGTATCTAACCATGTCCATATGTCTTCCTCTGTATCTCAGAAACTAATAATGACAGGGAGTTATTTTAAATACAGAAACTGTCCATTTATGTAAGGAAAACCCAGAAAGAGTGTTAATTTCTCTTCTATCACGGGGTCCTGCCCAAGTACCTTTCTTTCCTGAATAAGAATAGCACTGGGACAGTGATAACCATGGATATCTTTCATATATTTTACAGAAACTGAAGTTATAAAATATGTTTGGAAGAAATGTTAAACATAAGTAACCACAACAACCAAAAATTGTTTACCAAACTCCAGTTCAGGTTTTTCTGTATATGAATAGCAGTTGTTAATAAAAGGTGAAGTACTGTACACTGATAATTAAGCATTGACAAGACTTGTTTATGTGTAAGGAAAAGTACATTATTTATTTTTAAAATAAGCAAATTATGTTGACTCTACAATCAAGCAAATATGACCACACATGTCACTCACTACTGTGAATGATAACATTTATGTTCTACATTATCCCAACATTCCCATGTCTTCCCACTTGGTGGCCTTAAGATTTACTAATTTTATTCATAAAGGTGATAAATGTACCACTTCGTCTTTAAACCATTAACCCACCAAAATTTCTTAATATTTCTAATACAAAGTAAACCCAGTGCTAGGTATTATGGATATTCTTTTTAAATTGATTATTTTATTATCGAGACGATATAGCATCAGATGTAGGATGATTAATGAATCTGGAGCACCTGACAGAATGAAAACTGACAAGGGAAACCAAAGTACTGGGAGAAAACCAGCCCCAGTGCCACTTTGTCCATCACAAATCGTGCAAGACCTCACCTGGGACTGAACAAGGGCCACTACAGTGAGAAGCCGGCAACTAACTGCATTAAGACAAGAGGTACTGTGATTAGACAAGGTTTAGAATGAAAGGGATATTATGCAGGATGTCTCACAACTTTAGGGCATAACTGCAGGAGGTGATTTCCTAGGTCTTTGTGATCAAAAAAGTTCATATAAACATGTGTCCGATTTTGAACGGTTATGGAGTTATGACCGTTTTAAACTCAGAATAGAAGGTAACGATTACTGACAATAAACGAAACAAAATAATAAACCAGCATAATACATGACACATTTAAAGTATGAATGTAAAGTTAACTTCGTGAAATTACCTTTA